ACACATTCCACACCGATCTTAACCATATGTAAATGTAATTGAGAGCAATTGAGAAAATAATCTGTCTCCCTCTTTTTGTTCCATTTACAGCACCAACAACTGTATTATAAAGGTACAAATTTATAACTGGATTGATAAGATTCACTTTCTATTTCCAGGCAATTACCACATGGTAGAGAAGATAATTCTGTATCTAGAATATATTGCAGGCTACATGGGAATGCCAAAGAGGAGTAAGGATTCTAAGAGGGAATGAGCACTTCCAGTTGAAATGATCAAAGAAAACTTCCTGGAGGAGATAGTCAGGAGTCTTGAAGAGAAGTATTTCAATGGAGTTAAGTATCAAAGGGTGGAGTTAGTAGAGAGGATTTCTCAGTGGGCTGAAAAGAGTGGGGGAGGGGTAGAAAAGAAAGAGTGTGAACAAAAGCAAAGAGATGGAAAAAGGCAGAATTTGAGGGGAATAAGAAATAGATAATAGAGATCATGTGGTAGGATTAATGACAGACACTGAAAAACCAGGTTAGGCTAAATTGTAGAAAAACCTGAATCTAAATTTTAGAACTTTGTACTATATGCCATTGAATAAAATACAGTGACACATTGAGAGTAATTTTGACAGAAATAATGCAGGTGATAGTCTGAAGTGAGGTAGAAGAAATTGTAATAGAGTAGAAGTAAAAGATGGGATATTTTTTCAAAGGAGGAACTGATAGGATTGTGGAAGTGTGAATAACAGAGGAAGAAGTTAAAGAAGACAGCAATTTTGAATTTGGATGGTGGGAGAATGGCAAGATACTGAAATAAATTCAGGAAAACAAGTCTTACAGACAAAGGATGAATACAATTTTGGATATATTGCACTCTGAAGTGACAATTAAGACTTCCAAGTGGAATTATCCAATAAACTTTTGGATATGTGAAGGTGGTGATTGGAAACTCTTGGAGTAGATGAGATTCCCAAAGGTTGAAATATGAAGAAAGGAGATAATGTCAAGGACAGAATTTCATGTTTATGGTTAGAGAATGGGAATAAGAGAGATAAACTGTCAGAAGTAGACAGTCAACAGTGGGGCTGTCCAGAAGTGGGGAGTGTGGACATCCTTGTCTTATTCCCAAGACTTACTTGTTTCCAAACTTAGGGGAAGAATTTAGTTTTTCATCATTAACTATGATTTTTGCTGTAGGATTTTTTTTGTAGATGCTTTTTATAAGGTTAAGAACGTACCTTTCTGTTGCTAGTTTACTGAGAGATTTTACCATGAATGAATGTTTCAAAATGGTTTTTCTGCGTTTATTAAGATGATTGCGTGGTTTTCTTTTTTAGACTTCAATATGATGAACTGCATTGATTGTTTTTGTAATGTTGAACCAACTCTGCATGATAATGATATATTATCCTTTTTTAAAAATCACTAAATTCTATTTGCTAATACATATTTTTGTAATGTCTTTGATTTTGGTGTCAGGGTAATGCTGGCATCCAACAATGAGTTAGACAGTGCTCCCTGTTCTTTATCTTCTGGAAGAATTTGTGAAGGATTGATATTATCTCTTCCTTAAATATTTGGTAAAATTCCAAGTGAAAGCAACTTGGCTTAGAATTTTCTTTGTAAGAAGGTTTTTACCCATGAGTAGACTATAGGGCTATTCAGAGTATCTGTTTTCGTTAATAAATTTTGCTGGTTTGTGTCTTTCAAACTTTGCCTGTTTATCATCTAAATTATCCAAGTTTCTTACATCTATTAATATTTTATTAACCTTTTAATGCCTGTAGGGTCTAATGTAATATTTCCCTTTTATTTCATTTACATCTGTTTGGTTTCTACTTGTCCCATCTGCTCTTTGTTTTATATTTCTCTTCTCTTCTGCTTTCTTTTAGATTAGTATTTTTTATGAGTCCAAAAAGTGAATATTATTTGGGATAGAAAGAAGGCAAGATGTGACCTGTCATGTCTCATAACTGAAATTCTCTTAAAGTGAGATGCATGATCATAAGCTGAGGGTGGGGAAATGTTGGCATCTTAAATAGAGAAGGTTAGAATATTTGTCTCGGGAGGCCTCCTGAGAAAATAGTAAGAGATTAACATGTGGATTTCTAAGCATTAGGAAGGGCCAGCTCAAGTAAACATGTAACTGATAATTCTATCTTGATAGCTAGGCTATGCTAGGCTCAAATCTGAAGACATGTATCAAAATAGGCCTTAAGAACTGGAAAATTTGGAGAAAATATAATGGAATTACGGTGGTGCTTAGGACATTTCACATTTCAGTCATAATAAAATCCATTCATGTTTCCCTTAATAAGTTTGAAGATACCAGCATCTTTTAGACAATCATATTTTGCCAGGAGTCTTGAGCTTTGACTTAACTGGCAGCTCTCTTTTCACAATCTTGAACACTCAGCAGTTTACGTAGGGTAGACGTGCTCGAGACGTGTTCACTTCAGGGAGACCTGAGTGAAGTTTCTCCCATTTTCTCATAGCTAAGTTATCTGAAAAGCCAGAAAAAGGTTGAATAGCTGAAAGAAATTGTTATTGGTGAGTGGAAATAGAAGGAATGGAAAGTTGGCGGGCCAGCTGGATATTCTGTGGGACTAACGGGTTTGGAAACATACTTGCAAGACCAGGATAATTATTCTACTCTTCAAACTGATTGCATTTTGTGTTGTATTCTTTTGGTTTGTAAAAACTGTGATTGCTTGAATTGTGTAGTGAAATGTGAACTCAGTATAGAGGCACAGTTTATCCTAATCCCTCGCTGTCTATAGACATTATTATTTCATCTACACATTGAAAATCTGTGTGATCAAAAGTGGGAAAATCACAGTATGACAGGAATATTTCATTTGAATTGTTTTCACTGTTACAACCAGTTCTCAGAATAAATTTTTTGACAGCCCCCAACTTTAGCAGTAGAAAAAGTAATGTTTTATGTAAAAAACCAACCAAACAAACAAATAAACAAACAAAACAAACCAACAAACCTTAATGTAAATATTTTCCGTAGACAGAAAAATATAAACTAACCCATACTTTTCCTGCAGTGGCCACTACGGTGTATAACAGTGGAGAAGGATACAGACTTGAGTCAGACTGTCTGGTTTTAAACACTGGCTTTTCTACTTACCAGCTGTGTGATCCTAGACAAGATGCTTAACCTTTTTTAAAAGATTTTTAATTAATTAATTTATTTTTGAGGGAGAGAGAGCATAAGTGAGGGAAGAAGCAGAGGTAGAAGCAGAATCCCTGCTGAGCAGGGAGCCTGATTCGGGGCTTGATCCTGGAACCATATGGGACTAGATCCTAGGACCCTGGGATCATGACCTGAGCAGACGGCAGCCGCTTAACCAACTGAACCACCCAGACATCCAAGATGCTTAACCTTCTTATGCTTTAGTGTCTTTGTCTGTGAAATAGGAAAACAGTTTTGTCTCATAGACCTGATGTGAAGGTGGAAATGAGTTAATGCATGTATTAATACATGCTTAAACTGGGCCTGTTGCATGGGATGTACTCAGTGAGTTGTAGTTGTCACCAGGGTGAAAAAAGATTAGTTAGGCTCTGTGCATCACCAATAATGGGTCTGAGCAAATATCTGAATGTCAAATTTACACATACTTGATAGCTACCTTAAAAAGGTACTAGGAATAAAAATGCAAAATGCCATCCATTTGAGTGTGACATTTACAATTAAATTAAATGCCATCCATTTGAGTGTGACATTTACAATTTAAGTTTTTTCCTGGTATACTTATGTATGTATGTATGTATGTATACATTACTATATATATATATAGTAATGTATTAGTAAGGGCCAAGTGGTAGTATAGTAGGCAAATGGTAAGATATAGCAAGTAAATGGCATGTGGTCTAGGGAAATATTTTGGATAAAAACTAAACTACATTGCAAAAGGGGAAAGGATATTAGCATTAAATTGGCAATAACCATTATAGGCAATTTCCCCCCCCCATACTGTTTCATTTCTTTATCTTTCAAAATCCATAAAATAGGTATGTATTAACCCCATTTTACTAATGTTAGAACAAAAGCTCACAGAGTTTGACTTCAACAATTCTCCAAGGCTATTTAGGGGTAGAGCTAGGGGTCGGCCAGGTCCTCGCCATTTGATTTCAAAGCCCAAGGCCTCTCCATTGCATTCGTCTGCCTCCCAGAAGTGATCTGTATACCACTGATCAAATTTAGTACAAAAATCATAGCTGATCCATAAAACAAAATTTCCCCAGTTTTTCAATATCTTGTAATTGAACGAGTTTCATTTCTTTCCATACTTTTCCATTGCATTTCATTTTAGTAAGCATTTGCTACTAAAACACATACTGAAATGACCCGTAACTTTGGGGTTAACAGTGGAAAAAGTGCTTACCTTGGGTTGGTTCTATCTTTGTCATAAACTAGTCAATTCACTTCGGAGCCAGCCGTTTCACAGTGTGGAAGTTCCTCTTTTCATTTGTATAATGGAGGAAAAGTACTAGGTGATCTTGAATGTCTGTTTATTCCATCTCTTTCAATGCTCTATGATACTGAGAAATCCTCTCTACTAACTCCACCCTTTGATACTTAACTCCATTGAAATACTTCTTCTCTTCAAGACTCCTGACTCTATCTCCTCCAGGAAGTTTTCTTTGATCATTTCAACTGGAAGTGCTCATTCCCTCTTAGAATCCTTACTCCTCTTTGGCATTCCCATGTAGCCTGCAATATATTCTAGATACAGAATTATCTTCTCTACCATGTGGTGATTGTAAATCTATATCACATTTTCCCGAAGGGCCAGAAGTTCAAATACGGACCACTTTCATAGGGAACTGATTTCCTAGTTGGGATACTCCAACTCCTTGAAAATTCCCAGGACTTTAAAAAGGACTATAGATGCAGGATTTTGTTTTTACAAACCCATATTCAGTTTTTTAAGGTCCTATAAATATTCCTAATCTCTGAATCTGGGATGTCCTAATTTTTCTTTTCCATATTTTCCACAGGATTATTTTACAAATGCAAATAGAGAGTTGAAAAAAGATGCTCAGCAAGATTACCACCTGGAGTATGCCATGGAAAATAGTACCCACACAGTAGTTGAATTTACCAGAGAACTGCATACCTGTGACATGAATGATAAGAGTATAACGGTAAGGAGTCGACGAGAGAATACATACATGAATATGTTGTTCGTTTACGGTTGTGAAACACTTTGTAGAATGAAAGGAACAAATATTTACCTTTGAAAACAAAGTCACACAGTCTGTTTTAGGATATCTTTGAAATCTTTTTAGAAGCCACAAAAATCTAAGACTATATATTTCAAGAAAGGCAATTTTTGTGTGACTCTCACATTTTCAAGGGCCATTTAAAATGAGTATGATTTTATCTGTAAGATTTCCAGCTTTTTCTCTATAAAGTTTGAGAATACACAATAGATAAAGGTTGGAAAAAATGTATTACACAAGAAGGAATGATGATACTGAATATCAGGGTATAATTCATCTGATTTGTGACTGGTTCATTTTTGTAAATTTCTAAAATTGAGATGAATAGTAGATTGATTAAAATTGCCTACTGACATGTTATACAAGATTTCTTATTGTCAGACTTCATGCAAACATTAATATCTTTATGCACATGCAAATTAAATATTTAGATGGTATATAATTCATGTGGTACTTGGGAAGTTTCCATGAATTTCTTGGATCAATTTTATTTTGTATAGATCAATCAAATTATCTTTTTTATTTGATAAATCAAAGCTTTAAAAATGGGAATGTAAAAATCTGAAGCAGTTTTGATTAACATTCAGCATAAAGAGTAAAAGAGGAAGGAAAAAAACACATGCAAAGACATGGATCACCTTTTATGTAATATACAGTGCAATTATACTTTAATTGGAAAAATAATTATAGTCATTTGACTTATTAAGAAAGAATATAGCTTTTAAAGTAAATAGCTTTTGCTTTATTATTTATTTTCAAAGTTCTTATTACAAAGATCTGGCAGACACCTTGATCTGTGGGAGGACTGAACAACTTCTTTATAACTCAGCAAGCCCTCCCCCTGCTCCAGCATCCCTTGGGCAATCTCTCTTGCTTCCTAAATGGAAACCAATTTCACCTGACAGTACTTTCCCTAGTTGGGATACCCTAGTCCCTTGGAAATTCCGAGGATTCATAAATGACTGAAGCTAGATTCTAGGATAATAAACCCCAAATCAGAAATTCCTCCTGTGTTTGCACTTTCTGTCAATTCATACACGTCACTGGGCTAGTGCTTGGGAAAAATCTATTATGAACGTAAGGGTGCTGACCCGGAAAGTCATTTTAATTTTCATTCTGCTTATTTTTTTTCCCTAAAATGTTGCATAGCATTAAAACAGGTTTTAATTTTCTAGAATCCTTGCGTCTTAACAAGAATATTTGCTTGGTAACTATGAGTTGCTAGTTTGCAGACCTGGCGTGACAATGATTTACTGCTGCCATGTGCACGAAAGCATAACCACCGGGTCCGTTGCTCTTTGCTCTCTCTTGGAAGACATAATCTTGCATGCTGAGAGAGATCGTCTCTTCCAAAAAGAAACTCGTCTGTTTGGATACTTAATGATTTAAGCATATTGACACAATTAATACTAGAGACCATACCGAGGGCTCCCAAATGTCATTATTCTCTTTTCTTCACGTCTCTATCCGGCTTTCAGTAGAGTTCTCTAAACTCAGCTCAGTGGTAAGGATGGTGCTCTCATGAGACATAACGATGCCCCTGTCTGATCACCAGGAGAGCACTGTGAGAGTGATCTGGGCTTACCATCATGAAGATGTGGGCGAAGCCGGCCCCAAGTACCATGACTCCAATCGTGGCACTAAGAGTCTACGGCTGTTGAATCCTGAGAAAACCACCGTGTTGTCTACAGCCATACCATACTTTGACCTGGTGAATCAGGACGTAAGTTTTTTCAGGTTTTTTTGATTGGAAGGGTGGGTTTCTTGAAAGCATGTGAGAGTTTTTACTTACATGCTGTTTAACCGTGTGACTTTGTGTCCCCCTCCCCTTTTTATTAAGACAGGTCCCCATCCCAAACAAAGGTACGACCTATTGGTGCCAAATGTTTAAGATCCCTGTGTTCCAGGAAAAGCATCATGTAATAAAGGTATGTGACTCACTCACAGGCTAAATTTAATGTGTATGAATGGAGGAAAAATTGTTATTAAAATGAAAATGACTAAAAGAATAGAAATGGTTTTCAAGTATGTGAAAGTTATTTCAAGAACAAAGAACTGGCTTATCTGACTCACACCCTATCTTAGGAGTCACTGAATTAGAGAGAAATCTTGGATTATAGCTAGGATTTTTGGTTTTTGTCTCCTGATTTTACTTTTTAAGGTAAAAGTTTTGGGATGCATTTGAACATTGCTAGTTATTTCTTTTTTCTTTTTTAAAAAAGATTTTATTTATTTATTTTAGAGAGAGAAAGAGAGCACGCATGTGTGCATGTGCACACAGGGTGGGGCAGGGAGGAGCAGCAGGGAGGGAAAGGGAGGGGAAAAGAATCTCAAGCCAACTCCATGCTCAATGGAGAGCCTGACGGCGGGCTCAGTCTCTCCACCCTGAGATCATGACCTGAGCCAAAATCAAGTCAGGCTCTTAACCAGGTGAGCCACCCAGGCGCCCCAACACTAGTTATTTCTTAGGCAACACTGTAGAGTTGGAATTGCTGGAGTTGCCATTTAAATAATACATTTGCATATCAATAAATTATATACAGGAAGATTACATTCCCCACCACTATTGTTTGAAAATGTCTGCTTCATTGTAAATATTGGATGTTGTCAAAAAAACATTTTTACAGTGATTTTTTGAAAATAGGAAAACAGGAAGATTAGTGGATTCCCACAGAATTAAAAAATTCAGAATTGGGTAAGAAAGAAGCCCTGTTTGCCCATGGCCTATAATTCCCTCCCACCTCTACCAGGAATAGTGTCCCAAAACTTTTGCATCTAGTTAGTGAATGAACAAGTATTTTTAAGGAATTACGTGTGCTTGGCTCTGTGCTAGAAACTGTTTGGTAGTTCCACAGAGGCTGAGTATATAATCCATGCGTTCAAAGAACCTATAGTAAGAATGTAGGAAAAGTATCCTAGACACAGGAAAGAATAAGAATGCAATCATGCATACAAGTACTCTAAACATTCAGAAGGCCGACGTCATCAGCGTTTTGTCAGCCCCCAGACTATTTAACAAAGCAGTGTGGATGTGAGAAAGGAGCAAACTTGTAGATACTAGAATCCCGAAGGAAGTACATAGATCGACTCACAGGTTGTCTCTTGAGCTAACTACGTGCTCTCAGGTAAGTAGCTCTGGGGTAATGCCCTGGCTGCTTCGTCTGTAAAAGGTGGTCCATCATAACACTGTCCCTACTAACCTCAAAACATTTTGGCAGAGATGGAAACACTGAGTACATTCTATAAAGTGACTTAAATTTGTTAATCTCTAATATATTTGTCCAGAGGCACAGAGCTGCCTTTTATTCACACACATGATTCATAACTACTTACACAGACAAGAGGAACAGTTTGAGGGAATGTTTATTGAATTATTAAGTAGTTCTAAATATTTGTAGAGTATTTCTGTAATCAGAAGACTTACCAACAATGAGACTTCGAATGAACCACTTATCTCTGTGCAATGTTATTTTCTGTTTCTCACATGTGCCTTAATACCATGCCTAAGGCCTTCCCTTATGTCAGTGAAAAGCCTTTATCAGGGAAGTGAATGGTGTATTTATATATACTATGTGTCATGTAGTACTGTGTGTCATTTACAGTAAATTTAATGGGAACTCAGCTTACGGGACAAATGTAAAAAACTACAGAGTCAGAAATGAAAGCGAATGTTTCACAAAATGGGTCCCTGGTTCATTTTTCAGCAAATGTTAATTGATAGGATATGATGTCCTTAACCACTTACATCAATGCATTTTTATTCTTCATTGTTATTAATGTTAATAATTAAGTCAAATGAAAAAAAATATTTGCTCTTAAGGGGAGTCAGTATATGTCCTAACTCTCTATGTAGGACATTTACTTGGTATCCTATCTAAGAATTTTCCATTGCATGCTTATCATAGTAATAGTCAGATATGTGGGCATGTATTAAGTATTTGGAGTTCTATTAAACGATGAAAGTTCTTTACTCCTAGCAAGAGGGGATTTGAGGGAGACAGGTGTGGTTATACAAAATTTGGGTGCTGCAAAGGAGAGGGGTGGTGGCTGGAATTTAAAATTCTATTATTACTTAAGAATACCACTTATAGAATAGATTCCTGAGCTTGTTGTTAAACCCTAAAATGTTTTAAAAGTCGTTAAGTATTATGAAACATGTTACTCAGAAATGAACCTAAGTAGGATAATATACAAAAAGAGAAGGGGTACCTGGCTGGCTGAGTCGGTAGAGCATGTGACTCTTGATCTCTGGGTTGTGAGTTCAAGCCCCACATTCGGTGTAGAGATTACTTAAAAATAAAATGTTAAAGAGGAAAAAACCAGAGAAGAGAAAGCTTTACTTAGAAAATAAATTCAAAATATTTAGGTTATAAAAATAGGGGCACCTGGATGGCTCAGTTGGTTAAGCGACTGATTTCGGCTCAGGTCATGATCTCAGGTTCCTGGGATCAAGCCCTGCCTCGGTTCCCTGCTCAGCGGAGAGTCAACTTGAGGATTCTTTCTCTCCCTCTGCCCCTCCCCCAACTTGCTCTCTCTCTCTCTCTCTCTTTCTCTCTCTCTCAAATAAATAAATGAAACTTTAAAAATAAAGATTGTAAAAATAATTCAGGTTTTATATGTTTTGAGACAGTCTTAAAAAAGTTCTAATTTGCGGCTTATGCCAGTTTACAATAAAATTTTAATACGTTTTCTACAGTAGAATTCATAGATCTAAAACCTACCATAAGAAATTACCTAATTTCCATCCTCTTTTCCTTAGCAGAGATGATTTCTAGTAACTTAAGAAAAATATATCTTCTTTTCATAGAATCAAAGACTCCTGTGTTTTGGCTATTGTGGACATTGCTGCTATAAACATTGGGGTGCAGGTGCCCCTTCGGGTCCCTACATTTGTATCTTTGGGGTAAATACCCAGTAGTGCAATTGCTAGGTTATAGGGTAGCTCTATTTTCAAAAAAATAAAAATAAAAAAAAAACAAAGACTCCTGTGTTTTGAAAAGCCATGAGCTAGGTACTTGTCCTTATTCCTTATTTTGTGTCCCACAAATCACTGGATCAAAAAGCCTCAGTTCTTCTCTGATACAAAAAACAAAAAGTACTTTCTCAGAAAAAAAGAACATTGCTTTTATATTGTATTATATTATGTGTCATTTGCAGCGAGTTTTAAGAACATATTGATAACAGTAATATTGTGACAAATCAATTTTGTTGTCTGGACTCTTATTTCAAACAAAGAAAAGTGTGTAATTGTACTTTAAATGTTAATAGTACTGCCCAATATACATTTTGTAGTTGTAATAACTATAAAACTAAGCAGATAAATAAAATATATCAGTGGCTGTTTATGAATATATTTAATGTAAATGATGAAAATTAAAAATATTAATTACATTTTAATTCAAATTTTAATCATGTAATGATAAAAGTAATTTACTACCGAAAATATGAAATAAAGTAAATAGTTTCTAAAATTATAAACTAACAAAGGTAAATAATTTCTAAAAGTATAAATGAACAAAGGTCAATAATTTCACCTGCAGGAGTAATGGGATTGTGATAAAAATTATTGGCAGTTTCAATTCACTTGTGATTCCAATTTATTGATTTGTGTTTTGATTTTTGTGAAAAGTGTTTAAAATTGTGATTTGAAAATATTTGTATTGTCAGATGACAGCATATCACACTAGAAGACAGATAAGGAGATTATACAAAGAAAACTCTTAGTAATTTATATTAAAACCACACTTCTCATGTGAGACCACCTCTGTGACTCTCGAGACCCACTGTCCAGCCCATGTTGCCCTAGTTGAATATGACCCTATTTAAGCTTTGCCAAATAAGTAACTTTATCTTAAATTTAAATTTTTGGGAGAAAGTGATTCTTTCTACTCTCTTTAGTCAATAGTGATATCATAATCACCTGATAGTAACAATTGGATATGCTCTACTAGAAGCTGGGGTTATCAGTTGGTTTAACACACCGGTTTTGGGGTCTTTTGTTTTGTTTTGTTTTTGTTTTTGTTTTTTTGGAGCTTTTATTGCCAGAGAATTCTCTCATTGATAAACGGAACTCCTAACTCCTCCATTTAAACATGATCTATCTTATTTGATTTAATAAATAATTGTTGATGGCCTATTATGTTAAAGAGGAGAAAAAAGAAAAACAGCCAGGCTGACTCATCATCCTGTAGCCATCTGGCCTTAAAGGCCCACCTTTTTAATAGGGTGGCAGTAAGCCTCGTGGTCTCGTAGGTGGGTTCTGTGCTATGATGGGCAAAATCTGGACGCTTTCATTCCATTATTAGTCATTTATCCATGGGAAAGTTATTTGTCACCAACAGCTCCATTTTATCATTTAAATTCTAATGGTACCTTCCTTATGGGATTATTTGGACTGGAAGTTATGTAGCAGTTAAAAAATTTTTATTACCACTTAGCACAGTAGCTGACACATAGAAAACTCTTAACAAACCCAACTATTATCAGGCCTTTTTAAATTTTTTTTTCAATGCCCTGTCTGAATTTTCAATGCCCTGTCTGAATTTTCAATGCCCTGAAACAACTGCTGTTTGGTGAGGAGACCCAGAAAAGGAAAGAGCGTCATGCTAAAAGGTTGACCATTGCTGAGTGTTAAGAGAGGATTACCTTTACTTCTTGTGTGACCTCTGGCAAATTATTTACTTCCTTGTGCCTCAGTTTTCTCATCTGGAAAATAGGCATTAATAGGTCTCACCTAATAGGTGAGTGAATTAAAGGAATTTATCATAGGTATTTAGAACAATGCCTGGCATATAGTGTTTGTTAAATAAGTAACTAAATAAAATTATATAGATCACTAGCAATACACAATTGCTAATCTGTCAATCATCTTGTTTGGTTTCTGGGTTGCTGAGGGATCCCAAACCAGTCAACCCTTTCTAAACAGTCA